CGTTCCCATTTTTTCGTTAAATTTTTTGTTTTTTTTTGGTCATTTAAAAAAAAAAAAAAAAAAAGGACAATATTTCTTTTAAAAAAATCAAAATTTTATTTGATTTTTTTTTAAAATTTATTTTTTCAAAACTGATTTTAAAAAAACAGAAATTATACTGTTTATTTAAAATATTTTGAACCAAGCTTAACTTAGCTTCTGCGCCAAAAAAATGTAATTTGAAAATAAAACAAAGCAGGTCATAACCTTTCACGCTCGACGATTGACGAAAAGGCACATTCATGATGTTTAGATAATTTACGGGAGGATAATTCTTTCTACGGATGGAAGGAAGTGAAATTATTTAAGTGAACAAATTATTTACCTCATTACTTTTAAGGAAAAAAGAAAGCGCTCTAATTTTTTTTTTTTTTTTTTTTTTTTTTTTTGTACTTAGCTTTCATTTTTACGTTTACGAATGCTTTATGGAAAATATAAAGAAATTAAAAATAAGACTGTTAATAGTGAGATTAAATTTCATAAGAAAAAAGGTATCTAATTTATTTAGGTACCTTTCTTATGAAATTTTATCAGAAAGTGTACATAAAATACTATAATTTTATGTACATTTATTACATTTTACTGTGTTATTTGTATTTCCATTCATTTTATTATTTTGTTTTGATATTTCATTTATGGAAAAATGTCATAACTGAGATTAATATAAAAATAAGATCATATAAATTAAAGTTTAGCAGTAGTTAAATTTCATAAGATGATACTGTTACTTGTAGGTACCCTTCTCAGTTGAAATTGAAAACTCAAATTAACTTCTCCATACGTGTTTTTAAAAAAGTAAAGGGCTTAACAGCGGAGAACAATGCTGAACTCAAATAATGCAACTAAATTGTATTCTGGTTGGTCTTCCATACTTGATAATTACTGTCCAAATATAAACACAAAAATTACATTTCTTAATTACCATGGATAATCTGATTGGTCCAAATTATACAATTTTCAAAGCGCTAGACAATGACAATCTCACACGGACATTTTGAAAGGTTGATGTTGCTTTTAACTAATGTTAAAATATTTTTTAAAAAATTTAAACATTTTTTAAAATCTTTTTAAAATTAAAGAAATAAGAAATAATTGTATTAAAAATTCAATTTTCATTGAAAAATTTTTTTGCTTTCAGAAAATATTGTCCATATTCATAAAAAACAAATTAAAACAAATAAAAGCATTTGAAACTAAATAATATTTTGTTTTATTGAGTTTTGTATGTTACAATTCACAGCTGATTTTCAGGTACGTTGATCCAAAAAAAAAAAAAAAAAAAAAAAACATGATTTGCATTCTTCAAAGCCTTGTGCTTTTAACTATTGTAATCACTAAAACCAATGGTCTCGAATTTCTAGAGTTTTTCATAAAATTAGTTATGGGGGTGTTAATAAATATAAAAAAAAATATTTCTGCCATGACTTTAATAAAAAAAAAAAAAAAAAAAAACATTTATAATAATTTCGATCATCTGTGAATAGTTTCTGAAAGTTTCATTAACATCTGACAATTATTTTTATTTTTGCAAGATTTTCCAAATTAATGTGTGTAAATACAAAAAAAAACGCGCTAAAAATTATCTATGTTATTTACTACCCCTTGTTGGTACAAAAAGAGAAACAAGGTTTTTAAATCAAAATTTAGAATATTCTAAAAGATGGAAAAATTTTTAAAAAAATAATTAAAAAAAATTTGGTCTATCCTCTTCATAAAAAACATAAGCATTTTGACGATAAAATTTTGTTTTCATAAACTTTGGCGTCTTTTTCATCAGACTAACATGTTTTTAGCGATTCCGTTGACTTATGTTAAAAAACCCAGGTTTTTGTGTGTGTGTGTGTAAAAAAAAAATGGGATAGAGAATTTCATAATTTTTCAGCCGATGAAACAAATCCACCATTTTTTTTTTTTGTGAATTTCAAGAATTCTTAAACAGCTATCCATTAAGTAGTGACATTCAGAATGCTTTAAAATTCCATTTACAAGACAATTGTTTATAATAAAATTCTAATTCCTTTGTATAACTCATGAAACGCATTGAAAACAATGTTTTTGTTTGAGTTTGACCAATTCGACAAAAAAAAAAAAAAAAAAACAAAGCAATGGGAATAGAAAAAAATTGAAACAAAATCAAAAGCATTGATTCTGGGAAGGAGGGGTTCATATCAGAAGAATTTAACACACACACACAGAGAAAAAATTTATTCTCACAGATGACAATCTTTCAGGTGAGGTTTAAGGCAAAATATTTCAATAAAAGATGAATTAATATTTAAAAAAAAGCTTAAGAAATAATTTAAAAATGAACCTAAATATTGATTCAAAAACAACAATATTTTACTAATTATTAAGCTAGAACACAAGGAATTAAATTAATAAACAGAAAATGAGTTTAATATTTTATTAGAAACATGAACAAGAAATATTCAAATCATTTTCTAATTTGAGAATAGTAACAAATATGAATTTTTTTTATGATCTATTTATGCTGTTGAGTGTGGTCTGTCATAAGGTTACATGAAAAAGACTGCATACATTAAAACTATATTTTTATCAACATATATAATTTTTTTTTTGGCATATGTTTCCTTTCTTATTGTCTTGCAGTTTTCATGTTTTCAAAAAGAAGAGCCAAAAATTAATATAATTATTAAAATTAAATTGAATTAAAATCAAGCTCTGTTTCATCGATGGTACAAAAGACAAGGCCAAAAACGGATTGGGAAAAATGTTTTTTTGTCTTTATTCTAAACTTAGCTAGTCAAAAAAAAAAAAAAAAAAATACCAACAATAGTCCTATCACCAAAAACAACACATTCTTTCCTATTTTATTTTCAGTCTTTCCATGATGGTCGATACTTGAATGTCTCTATGAAATTTAAATAGTCCCCATATAGGGGAGGGAATAAAACAAAGTTTTTAAAAAAAATCCCAATGATTATTTATTTCTTATTCTTAAATACTATTTACATGAAAACAAAACAAGGTTAATGAGTTAACAGTTTTTGCCGACAAGTTTTCATGCCCTCAATTTGCTTAAAAAAAAAATAAATAAAAAACAAAAAATTTAAATTCAGTCAAAAAAAAGGTTTAAAAGTATATCAATAATTTGTAGAAAATAAAAAACCCTATATGAAAAAAAAAAAAAAATTGTACACAGTAAATATTTTTATACAAATTCCATACACTTAAAAAAAAAATATTTAGACATTTAAACAAACATAATAATAATAAAAAAATAACTGTCTATCAAACAGATTAGACTATCTATACAATGAACTGATTGTCATCATTTGCTTTAAAATAACACCTCCCTAAGTCACTTTGACATGACCTCTTTCCGAAAGTAACTAATATGTTGATAAAAATTAACCCTTATATTTCTTTTTATTGAAATAATTGCTTCTGCCGTTTCCATAAAAATTAATTTTAAGAATGAATATTTAATAAAGCTTATTTTGAATTTCATTAGTTATTCCAAAATTTCAGCTTGAGGATGAAACAGAGCTTGATACTTTAATTCAATTTAATTTTATTCCTATATTGAAGTTTTTTTAAAAACAGAACTCTTATGTAGCAAAGGAATCATTTTTTAAAAAATAATTATAATTTAGGCTCTACTTTTGTATTGTCTGTTTTTAAAAAATAAAAAAATAATTAAAGAACTCAATTCAACCTAATGCAGTTTTTCATTTTTCTATATATTTGCACACAATACATAAATATATATATATATATATATATATATATATATAATAATTGTCAACTGAACTATTCAGTATTTTTCCAACAATATCTGAGTTACCTTGTTTTTAATCCAAATGTAACATATCAAATCAAAATACCTGCCATAAAAATTATTTTTTTAATCAACATATATATTCATTGGCAAACCTGTTTTATGAATAAGAGAATTTAGAAGGATTTTTACATTTTGTTAAATGAGATGTGATAACAGCTGACCATGCTTTAGCAAGAGATGGCATCAGAAACAAGGCTGGAATAGAATTGGCCCTTGTCAGTACATTCTCCAGTTCAATCATCTAAAATGAGAAAAGACATCAATAAAAATGAACGACTTTATGGTTTCAACATGAACTCTTATTTTATTTATGATAGCAAATATCACAATAAAAAATAAATAAGACAACATTCCATTATTATCCTTGTGATTTTATTTATCAGCTGAAAGTAAAATATTAATTGATGAAATTGGACAAATTGGGTTTGTAATAATTCAAAGCTCCAAGAACTTAATGTTGATCTCAATATATGCAATGATACATAACTAGAGGCAGTTCAACAGCTATATTCTATAATTTTTTAGCATTTTTCCATATCACTGGGCACTTTTAGGTACAGAATACATGTGCTGGTATCATTAAATGGTTTCCTTCAATTCCTCCCCAGCTGGAATGGCACATATTTGGTACAGCACATTTCTTGCTTTTCAAATAATTCTCTCTGTAGTCACAAAAAAAAAAAAAAAAAATCAAAAATTCTCTGAAGACTACATATTTATTACCAGAACAGTTTATTTTATAAATTGAAAAATTTCTAAAATAATTATATTATAGACAGCACTTGTATTTAGTACAAGAGTAGCCAAGAAAAAAAAACAACTTTTACACAAAAATTCCTCTTGTATAACAGTATCATTATTGTACAATACAAGAGTTTGAGAAAATAGAATGTCTCATCTTTTGTCTTGGTGTTTTCAATTTATACTATTGTAACAATAATCTTTTGTTAATGGTAACTTTAAAATGTGAGAATCATAAAATCATGTAAAAAAAAGATTAAATTAAAATATTTTTTTAGAAAAAAAACTAAAAAATAAAAAGTTGATTATTATCTGGAATTTTCATTAAAATCTTTTAAAGCCCATTTTTGTAAAATGGGTATGAAATCAAATGAATATTTCTGTGTCAGCTTAAATCTTTTCAAAATCTTACCATTTATATTTCTTTTTTGTTAGCATCTTTGTTGTTATCCCAAAGGTTTAGATCATAGATTTTGTAATCAAAGCAAAGACTAGTGACAAGGTAGGCAACAAGGGAAATCTGTTGAAAAAGGAAAAAGGAATCAAAACATTATGGAATAGCATCTATTAATTTTTTTTTAAATTTAAATTCATTTACTATTAATTAGATAAATGATATATTAATTGAATCTTTTTTGCCTTGCCAAAAACAAAAATTTCATCTGGTTTCCTGAAAAGCAAGTTCAATTCCTGAGTTACCCAAAACAAAAACATTCATGTAGACTGGTCAAATGTAACAAGAACAAAGATGAGGACAATTCCAAATTAAATAGTAAAATTCAGTTAAAAAATAGTTATAATCATTTATTAAAAATCATTATGTTTTTGATAAAAAGAATGAGATAATATATTATTTATGTTTGGGTTTGAATCTGGGCAATATTTAATTCATCGGCATACAGGTTTTTTCTACTGTTGGGGGACAATGAACAATGAATAGAAAATGTTGGGTGATTATTGGAATTTTTGATGGGCAATTAGGATTTTTGATATTAAAAAGATATTTTTTACAAATGCTAACTGAAAAAATATTCAAAGGAGATATGCAAAGAAATTGTATAAAAACAAAAACCCCAAAAAACCTGGAGGTTAATTAGGAATCAGTTATTCCCAATCAAATTCCTAGATAAGATATAAATATCCATACAAACAACAAATGTCTTGCTATTTTCTATAGTTTTGAGAAAGGTCCTTAGCATTCAAGTAGTTTTTTTTTAGACAAAATAAAGATTTGTTTTTTTTTTATAAAGCAATAAGTTAAGGAAAGACAAAAAATATTCAAAAAAAATATTTGCTGAATCTTTATTAGTTTTTCATAGTGTATATTCTTTTTTTTTTCAATAATTAATTAACATTGACCATAAAACTAAATTATATACATAGTTTTCAATGGTCAAATTTGGTTTCATTTGATCTTTAATTTGGTAGTAACAGCAGTTGTTGCAAGTCAACATTATTTGTTTGCCACCTCCTTTGGTATTTTTACCACACCAATAACAAACTTTATCAAATAATTTTGATATACTTTTGAATATTTACTATACAGGTTGGTAGTGGAAATTTTTTTTCATGTGAAAGTGGATGATGACACAAAAAGGGTTGAGCACCCCTGTTCTAGCATATCAAATAACAACTCCTATTCGAGATTTCTTGAATGTTGCCAATTACTAGAGATGTAGGAGAAAGCCTGTAGGATATATTGGCCAAAATATGATAGAAATGAGGAAACTGATTAAAAAATAATCACCACATCAGTTTCCTCATTTCTATCATATTTGATGAAAATTTGTTTAATAGTTAAACAAATTTTCATCAAATATCAACCGTTGAGAAAACTGAACATAGCAAAGTTAAAATCTCTATATAACACACACACACAGGAAAAAAAAATCAATGTAACACCAATAATAACACCTAACTAGTGCATAAATTAAATACATCAAACTTGGTATAAAGATAACAAATAGTGAGAAAAACAGCAGTCAGTTGCTGAAACCTCCTGATGAGTGAACTGAACAATCACAAAAAGGGTTTGTGTACAAAACCCCAGAGTCAAGGTGCTGAATATAACATCAATCAGCTAAGTGACAATTATTAATCTTGTGTGTAAAAATTTTTTTTTTTTTTTTTTTTACACACAAACAAAATTTTCCAGTTCATCAAAGACATAGTTAAGTGATTAAAAGACTGTTTTACATTTCTCTCCTGATTGTGATTCTTCCAAATGCTTCTTGTCAATTTCTCTTTGTTGCATTCCTCAAAACCTTTGGCTGTCATAGCAACACTCAGCTTCTCTAAGCAAACCAAATACCTCTGAACCTGAATGAGTTTACTGAAAAAGAAATTAGAAAATTCCATTCACAGATATTATCATTTATAAAACTGCTGTTGTAGCTTTTGTTGAAAGTTTCAAAGCAGTATTAAGAATTTCCTTTCAGCTGAAAGGAATTAATTTCAGTTATTTGATTAGCCAGTTTTAAATCCTCACTGAATGCTTTACACTTGAACCAGATCAAAGTTAATTTAATAAATACAAATTAAATATCAAGATCACATTGTCATAGAGTAATAGTCATTATAATATTCTAACTCTTATATAAATTAATTATTGCAGGTATGAGATTAGCATTACAAAAATCCAAGTTAAATGAACTGAATTTGGAAATGGAGGAATCAATTTAAATTTTTTGTAGAAAAAAGCGAAAATGTGATGCTCAGTACTTTTATCTTTGTGACAGAATTGCAGAATCATTTGAAGACAAATTGGATGCATAAAAAATATTGAAATGTACAAACCTTATTTGATTAGAAGTCATTGAGGTGGTGCAAGAAATTTCATTCATTGAAGCCATATTGAATAAACAACAAAGAGCACGCAACTGGCACATGTGGGAAACTTGAGTAGTACTACGTAACTAGAAAAACAAGACATTTTTATTATTACTACTACATAAGTGAACTAATGTCATGGTTCAAAATTTTTAGTTTATATTTTGAGAAGGAAATAGAGAAAAAAAATTTATCAACTTGATTTTGCAAACGCAAAATTACAGTTTGTGGTTTCTTTTAATATTTAATCTGAGATTTATGATAAGGGATTAAATGTCCACCCGACTTCTTTCCAAATGCAATTAACAGAACATTTCCTTTGTAAAAATAATCCTTCAAGTTAGAAATCAAAAACAAAGTGCCTACTTTTCTAAGTCTCTACTAGTCTCTACATTTTTGTGAAGAGTACGATATATGGAGGTATGGGTGACCTAAGATTTAATGGCATAAAAAATGGACTTGATGAATAGAATTCAGATTCTGGCTAAGACAGTGTATGAATTTGAGACAGGTATGAACCCACTTCTTCCTTAAGGCATAAATATCAGGGAAAACTGGGTTTTCTAGCCTTGGTTGGCACCCAGTCTAAGAGATGGAGAACTGATTCCAAACCAGAAATGCTAGGCAGACTAGTACTACTTTCTTTCAACAGGTAATGTCAGCAATTACTACCTGTTGCTGATACCATATAACCCAATACAATCTGTTGCACATAATGCAGAATAGAGATGGACACTGTTAACATCCATCAAGTGGAAATACTCAGCATGATGCCCTTGTTATAATGGGTCATGGACTGAACTGGATAATGGATTGACAAAAAATGTGGATGACAAAAAAAAAAGAAAAGAAAAACATCTAACTAACCTGTCCTGAATATCCAAGTAAGAATGAAATGTTTCTCTTGATATCACCACTTCTCAAAATGTAAGCAACTCTAAAAGTAAAATTCAAACCATTAACAAATCTGAAATTGAGCTACATACAATTTAAGTCATAAATTGTAAATATCTAAACAAGTCTTGTGAACAGCACAAATATTTTTTTAAATCAGTTGAATCAACACAGAATTATCCACAGACATTTGAATATAGAGATGGGGGGGGGCAAATGTTTAACTAATAAATAAATAAAAATAATGTGTCAGAAGGATGTTTTTTCTTGACACTGCTAATTACTGTGTACTTAATTGCCATTTTTTTTATCTTTTTAGAAAGCTATTTTAATAAAACCCAAAACATATGAAACTGGATTTATACATTTTCTTTTTTCTCAAAAATTGACAAAAAAATATTAAACACTATTTATTTATTAGATTGCTTATTTACATGAATAATTTTATATTTACAAAATTATAAAAATATGTGAACCAAGTACAATGCAAGAAATAACTATGAAATCAATTTTTTTAATTCATAATTTCATAAAAATATCTGAAGTATAGAACAAGAAAATTTAAATAAAAACACGTAACTAATTAAAAATTTTGAAAAAAAAAAAAATTTTTCTGGATATTACATAATTTTCTTCTGATTATTTTACATAACAGATTGTTTTAATTTTCCAAGCCAAGAAAGACTCACCTTTTCAGGTTATCATTGTCAACATGTTTATCTTCAGTTTCAAAGTTATTAAAGTTGCCAAAATCAAATGTAACGGTCTAAAAAATAGAACAATTAACAAAAATAAAAAATAAACAATTAACAAAAATAAATGTTGCATGATTTTTAAATACATCCAGTTACCTGTGAAATTTATCTAATTTCCCATTTTGTTGTATTTTCTTAACAAAATTTGGTACATGCATCAAAACAATTTATAAACCCCAAAGTTACTGAATTTCACTAGAAATTAGTTGGTAGGAGTTAACAAAAATATTTATAAAAAAAAAAATGAAAAATTAACTGAGATTATGCTCAAGTTAATAAAAATACATTTATACTGCAATTTAAGCCATGTTATCCTAGACATTGTGTAATAAAATAGACAATTATAACCCTTACTGCCACAGTGTGTGTGTGTGTGTGTGTGTGTGTGCATATATCATGTGTATGTATATACACACACACACAAAAAAAACATGATTATATAGTGCATAAATGCTGTACTTTTTGCCACCCAAAAAAGATTGTCACCAGTCTTGAATGTATGAAGGTAATGTTAATCACCTTTACAAATTTCTCATTCTTTTATTTAAATTTTTTTTTTCATTTTCTCTGTCCAAATTATTTATATAAATTTTATTCCCTACTATTTTTTAATTCAATTAATTTTACTCTTATTTCCTCTATTTCAAAACTTTTTTGTACATTAATTCATTGGTGATTTCATTTCATCTCGTATATTTACTTGGACACAAATTATTTTCTAGCATGGTTCACAAATGACAAGAGTTTTTTTTTTTTTTTTTCACTTCCTCAGAAAGTCAATGTTGGAACATACTTAAAACTTTATAACAGTTTCAGACTCCCTGTCCATAACACCCCCACCCCGATTGATATGCTTCGCCTTTGTATGCTTGCTCTCAATTTTTTTTTCTCTCTCTCAAATAGATAACTTGGCAACTACATGCCCACACTCTGTAACCATGTATAATAATCCATAAGTGGGGGGAGGGTAGTGGATGCACATGCATCCCCATGCAACCCGTTACCCTCTCCTCCTCACAATGGGTCTTTTTAGTCTTCTAGTTCAGGAGTGAGCTACTCATGCATATGAGGCATTTGTGGCTCTCAGCTAGGATCTCCAGATGAGTTTTCTGTGTGAAACTTCTTTGTAATAAATTCTCTGGATGCCAAGCCCAGAATTGAGTTTTTTGCTTTGGCTTGTTGCTTTAAAAAATCTCCAGACCATTTATATATGTCTCCATCTCTCTCTCCTAAATTCAGTCAGCTATCTCTTTCTCTACTATTCCTCTTCAGCTCAAGACTGTTTTGTGCTCGATAATATTTCCGATAATATAGACTAGCCCATCTCCATTTGCAAACATATTTGTGTTTGGTGACTTTAATTTCCATCATACCAGGTGACTTAAACACTGTCACTAACCATACTAGCATCCAAACCCTTAACTTTTCAATCACTCAATCCCTCACGCAAGTGGTTGATTTTCTTACGCATTTCCCCAGTAACCCTGATGGAAACACTTCTCTTCTTAATCACTGTTTTACCTCTATCCCTGACTCTTGTCATGCTACACAACTTTGCCCTCTTGGCAACTCTGATCACGTAATAGTGTCTGCAAACATCTCTTTCCATTCCCCCACCAGCCACAAACCTCCTACCAAGAAAATATCTTTCTGTTATCAATGCACAGATTGCGATTTCCTTCTTGACGTCCCTTGGAATGTGGTTTTTAATCATCCCATTCAAAAATGCATGTCTGGGGTTTCCTCCTGGTCAAAAACCGCATCAAGGCTTTCATCCCAGTAAGAAAATACCAAAGTTAAATCGCACTCATCTCCTTGGTTCCCACCTGCTTGCTCTGCCGCTATAGCCCATAGGATCACTTCTGTCTGTACCAGAGCGACATGTCTAGTTGCAACAGATGTCTGTCTGCTTGTAACAAGTGCAAGTGTTTCCTCAATGAAGCAAAGTTACTGTCTACTGATAGAATGAAACAATGTATAGCTTCTCAAACATTTGGTTCTAGACATTATTGGCAGCTCTGCAAGAGTGTACTGAACAGCGGCAAATCCTTAATTCAATCAATTCGAAGTCCTAACATCTGCAGTAGATAAGGCTGAATACTTTGCTCAGAAATTCTCATCCAACTCAACACTCAACTGTTCCAGAGACCCACACCTGACTGAACTGAAGCTCTACTATATCTGCATAACCCTATCATTGGTCTTTGACATAAATTAGACTCTCATAAAGCAAATGTAGGTGACAGGATATCAGCTGTAATCCTTAAGAATGTGCTCCCGAGCAGGCTCCAAACTATACAACTATTGCCTTGCTGATTCTTGCTTTCCAGCTTGTTGAAAGTCCTTCTCTGTTGTCCGTACTTAAGAACTCTGGAGACCCTTCTGACCTCCTTAACTACCACCCTATCAGTCACCTACCACTCTTCAGCAAAGTATTCAAAACCTTAAACAATGCCGAAGTGGTTAAGCATCTTTCCTATCACAATCTACTCTCTGATAAACAACACGATTTCCATTTTGCCCGTTCTACTGCTGATGTGCTTATGGCCATAACTGAATATGTATACCAAGTTCTTGATAATAATGGCAAAATCCAAGCTGTGGCTCTAGATATCTCGAAGGCGTTTGACAGGGTTTGCCATGTTGGCCTTCTATTTAAGCTTAAGAGCTCTGGTATTACAAGACAAATATTTGATTTAATCCAATTATTCGTATCAAATTGTGAAATGAAGGTTGTCCTGAACATGCTCTCTTCCAGTTCTTTTCATACAAATGTGTGGATCCTACACGGATGGATGTTGGATTTAACGGCATGTCAACTCCTATTTGTGGATCCTACACGGTTTCTGATTTTCATCAATGATCTTCCTCGAGTAGGCATCTACATAGATGACACTACCATTTACTCCTGTTTCAATAGTAAATCTAAAGCTAACTTGGCTGTTGATCTCGAAAAGGGCCTCCAATCAGTGGTTAACTGGGACAGGACATGACGTTAAATTTGAATGCCTCCAAAATGAAACTGCTCTCATTTAACCACCATGAAGAAAAATACTTCTTTAACCCCTATCAACATAACTGATGCTTGACTTATGTTTTCTATTGAATTGAGCTGGAAGAAGTACATTGAATCAATAGCTGCATCTACCACAAGGAAGGTTGTTTGTGCTGTGCCAGAAGGTTTTTCTCATCTGAGTCCATCCTACACATCTACCATTCATCCATGCATTGAATTTTGTTTCCATATAAAGCCTGGTGCCTCTGGTGTTCATCTTAAGGTCCTTGACAAAATCTAAAGAAGCATCTGCAATGTAGTCGGTCCTGACTTGGCATCTCGACTCCAATCACTTTCTCACAGACATGACGTGGCTTCCCTCTGTCTTTTCTACAAATATTTTCATGGAAAGTGCTCTGATGAGCTATTTTCCCTGGTGCCCTGTCTACAAGAATTTAAACATGCTACTAGGTTGGCATCTAGGTCCCACCCTTTTACTGTTGAAACAGTTAAATGTAACTGCTACTTCTACCCCAACAGCTGCTTCTCTCACACTTCCCAACAGTGGAATTTTCTTCCACTTACTTGCTTCCCAGATAATTAAAATCTTCAAAAATTTAAATGCAATGTCAATTGTCATCTTCTAATGCCTTGATCCCCATTTTTCTTTTTATCCTTTCTGAAATCCTCCCTTTACCTAGTCTTTTCTCTTATTTCACTCTCTGTAATCCCCTATGTACTAGTGGCACTCCCACCATGCTTGAAGTGAAAGGCTTAAATTAATTGGTAGTCATTTGGTGAAACCTCCTGACAAGTGGACTGAATGATTACAAAAAGGTTAATCTACGAAAGTCTGGAGTCTGGATGCTGAATATCAGTTTACTTTTGGTATTTATATGCCTAACAAAGACATTGCTCAGCCCCTATTGTCTGTGTTGCAAAGGAATTACACTGACCCACAACCATCCCATTTAATACAATGGAACAGTCCAAAGCCCAGAGTTGTAATCTACAGTATCTAGGTACATTTGTGTTAATTTTGTACTTTGTCCCATCAAAACAAGACAAACACACAATTTTTACCTTTTAAATCACAAAATTTATAAGCTGAAGCGAACTGAAAAAAAAAAATTCTATTTTTTGTAATGAATGAATGTGTTGTTTATAAATAAAATAGAAAATTCTAATTCCCATCTTTTTCTTGGTCAATATTATTCAATAAGCAAGAAAAACAAATGGCTACAACAAGTATTTACTTTGGTTTACACCTCATATTTTTTATTTGTTTCAATAGAAAATTCATTGTCCCATCTCTGATTTTAATGTAGAATGCAGTTTTATTGACAAAGAGTATGTAAATAATCAGTGACTTAGAAAAATTCATTGTAAAGTGAAATATTGAAAAATATAAAGCAATAAAAAGGCCAAAATAATCTTCACCATATCAGCATCTTCAGATTTGTTGGTCTCTAACCATTCACAGACCAAGTTGATCTTCAAGTCTTCTAAACTCAAACTGTTGATGGTAGCAATCTCTACAGCCATCTGATTGATATCTAGTTTAACAAAAAATGAAATAAAAAATTGTTGTATTTTTTTTTTTATTATTAAAGAAAACTTATGGTATACAAATTTATACAATAAATCCTTTTGTTTCAATCTTTATAATTCAAAATACACAAACATCCTACCTGGTCTCAGGTGTTCAGGAAGAGTGGGATCCAAGATGGAAGAATTCTCATACAATTTTCTAATTAACTTCTCTGGCTTAGAACACAAGTCAAGCAGCTCTGGGGAAGCCAGTTTATATTGGAAGAGAACTTGTTCTGCAGCCAATTGGTGATACATTTGCACAAACTTATGGAAAGCAGTTTCAGCCTTTTTGCAACTTGAAGACTGAAAATGTTGAGAAACAGGAAAAAAATCCAAATTATGCTACATTTGGTAGAATATGGCTCACATCATTCTTCTCCAATAATAAAGACTTGATTATTTTAAAAATGAAGGCATAATTATATTACAGAGAAAAAAAAGAGGCAGGGAATCTTATTTGATAACTCTGACAAAATTTTTTAAAAAGTCCAGTGGAGGTTCAATGTTCACATTTTGCCAATTAAAGATATAACTTTTCAAATCATTCTTCAAACATTCATGTTAAGCTTTAATGATATGGATCATATCAAAACTAAAATAACGTTTTAAATTTTTAGCTTTCTAACAATTTGAATTTCACTAGTCTTAAAAGATAAAAAAATTATGAAAACTCAATAAAATCGGGTTTTGTTCAACCAGTTAATAGATTTATCAGCTACTTTACTCCCTGAATTTAGGGCTTATTTTTGCTAATCTGAGAGCACAAAATAGCGGCTTTATTGCCTTGCTAGGGGTGAAATGATTAAATTTTTTTTTTTTTTTTTTAAATAGGGGTTTACCTCTTTTGAAGACTGACACCATTTTTCAGCAAAAGAGACACAGCCCTGCAAAGCAAGAACTTTTTCAGCACCTGAAATAAGCAGGAATCAGTTTTTAATACAAAAGTGATTGAATTAAGTTTCATTGTTTGTATAATGACAAGGATATTTAAGCTAAGCCAATAATGTAACCAGTAACTCTTACTAATCAAAATACATGTAACATACTG